TTATGGAAATTTTCAAATGTAAACAAAAGTAATGAGAACAGTATAATGAAGCCACATGTCCTATAACCAAGCTCAATTATCTACATTTTGCATTTCTGTCTCTTTCTAGGCCTATCCACTCTTCTTTTAATCCCCTTTGTAATATTTTAAACCAAATCCCTAACATTGTGTCATTTCACTAATAAATACTCACATATATATCTCTTACTGATGAAGATTTTAAAATACAACAAATATTTGGGAGAATTCACCAGTGAGCAATTTGGACCTAAGAGTATTATTAAAAGGAAGGTTTTTTAACTACAAATGCAATTTCTTTCAGAGATATTAAGGTAATCTATTTTTTCTTGAGTGAGTTTTGGTAGTTTGTATCTTTCAAATAAATTTTCCATTTCATCGAATTTGTTGAATTTATAAGGTATAAAGATGTCTGTAATATTCCTGTTATATTTTTAATATCTGTAGAATCTGTAAATTATGTCATCCTCTGAGTCATGGCACTGGAATTTGTATTCTCTACATATCTTTTTTTTTCTTAATTGGTCTGAAGAGAGATTTATCAGTTTTATCTACTTTATGAAGAACCAGCTTTTGGTTTTATTAATTTTTACTTTCCATATCACTTTTTCCACTTCAATCTTTATTATTTCCTTTCCTCTGATTACTCAGTCTTCTTTTTCAAGTTTTATAGGGTAGATGCTAACTCAATGATTTGAAACTTTCTTTTTTTCTTACATAGGTATTTAGTGCTATTACAGTAGTCCCCCCTTATGCATGGGAGATACATCCAAGACCCTCAAAGAATATCTGAAACTGTGACAATATCAAAACCTATATGTACTGTGTTTTACTATACATACATACTTATGATAAAGTTTAATTTATAAACTAAACAAGTAAGAGATTAACATAGCAGAAAAATTATAACAATATACTGTAATAAAAATTATTTGAATGTGGTCTGTCTCTCTCTTCTCTTTCTCAAAATATCTTATTGTATTGTAAGTACAGTGTGAACATGATGGACCCAAGGATGATTCACCTGCTGGAGCAGTACAGCGCAAGATTTCATCACACTACTCAGAACAATGCACAATTTAAAACAAATTTTTTATTTCTAGAATTTTCCATCTAATATTTTTCAGACTGCAGTTGACCACGGGTAACTTAGATGGTAGAAAGCAAAACTGCAGATAAATGGAAGACTACCATAATTTTACCTAAAGAGTATTTTAGCAGCATCCCACTAAACCCGATGTGTTGTATTTTCATTCTCATTCAGTTCAAAATATTTTCTAACTTCTCCTTTGATTTCTTCTTTACTCATGGGGTTATTTAAGATTGGATGCACAAAGGCGATCATCCACAGATCTCTGAGATTCTCTATGCCATTCTCTCCATTCCAGGACTCTGTCATCTAAACTCTGGCTGCCTTGGTCTCCCTGGACTTTCTGTTCTGTCTCAACTCAGTCTCCAGAGTTTTACCTGGGTCACTCTCCCCTGTGCTGTGAGTTGGAAACTTTCAGTGCATCAGAGGCAATCACAGGGCTCCTCATGTTAGTTTCTCATATCTCAGGGATCACTGTCCTTGGTTGTCAGATATCCAGTGTCGTGAAGACCATCGTTTCATATATTTCATATGTTTTCTCTAGTTTTTTTAGTTGTTGCAGGGAAGAGAGTTAATCTGGTCCCTATTACTCCATCTTAGCTGCAAGAAGAAATCCAGTTTTGTTTTGTTTTATATATATATCATTATGAACTCATGATTTTTATATATTTTGTTTGTATATTGCAATCCATTGCAATCATTTTCCTTTTCGCTGTTCAAAGTATCACAACTTCGGCCAATGGGAGCCACTACACGTTGGCTTTTGGATCCTTTTGTTTCTACTAGTCCCTTTAGTGCAAATGATATTTAGGCACTATGGTATAGACATTAGAGGGTAATTATATATTTGCATTTGCTAAACTTATCTTTAAAAAATAGGAGAGCAAGAAAACAATAGAGAGATGTTTTACATTTACAAATATGTACACTTCAATAAAAAATACACCTGTGTTGAAGAAGACTCAATTCTGCCACATATAAGTCATTAACATTCTTACCTATTAAATGGAGACCTCAAAAGTTCTTATCATTGCTTCCTAAATATGGATCTCCAAGTTTCCACACACAGTCCAATAAATATGACTTTATCTTCTCAAACTGTGTGCATTCAATCTAAGCTATTTTTGGACTCTGATTTACATAGGCCTAGCAGCCTAGAAGGAAGGCCTCCTACTCCAATATGATTTGATAGTAGCAGAATCTATCTGAAGACTAGGAGTGTGTCATCAATAAATATTGCTAAGTAAATAAGTCTCCAACCAAGACTGAGCACGTCAAAGTAAAATTTAAGTCCAAGGGACCACAGTAATAGGATATTAATATTCTTCCACATATTCCTAATTTTCTGTCTTCCTGCCCCTGGTTTAACAATCTAAGTTGCCACAAATCCTCAAGTGTCCTTTCTAACTTATGAAATACTTCACATTTTTTAGTTTCAGTGAAACCCCTACACAGTCTCTTTCAGATCAATGATTCTTAAATTCATAGATTCTTCTGGGTGCAAGAAACTCTAAAGACAGACCATCTCGTCCAGGTGCATCTCTTCATAGATAGGAAACTAAAGCACAGAGCTTTATGGCACTTGCCTCTATTAGCAAACCGAGAACCAGAGACTTGATAAAGTATTATAACTTAGAGATTTAAAGATTGAGATTTTCTAAATCACACAACATTAAACACATCTAGACCAACAGCTAGCTCTCAACACTCTGTACCTGATATTTCCCTAATTGTTTATTTAAAAATTATATACCATGATGATAGCAAAACAAATTATTTAGAAACTATATACTGTAGTGATAATAATGGTAACACAACTTTTTAAGAGCATTTGTAAATTTTCAAACATTATGTCAATGTAAATTACATTTTGTGTAATGTCTTAGTATGAAAACACTTTGTCAGAATGTAGATATTTTAACAAAAAAAGCTTTTATTATATTAAAACCTGAGTCCTACCCTTGGTCTCAAGAGATAAAACAACTAAAATAGTTTTGCAAAAGCTGTGCATGTTTAAAATGCTATCTTGCCTTTACTTGAATGCTATCTTGCCTTTACAGGAAAGTAATCAATATTATACCACAAACCAGTCTTCTCAACAGAACAAAGACTTTGTTGAGCAACAGAGATGATCCTAAAACCTTTGTGGACCAGCTTTGATATGAATCCAGTAGATTCTGATTGCTAACAGGACAAACCACCAATCCTGGACTATAATCTTAAGAACCTTCTCAGCAAACTGAGTCTTCCAATGCAGACATTAGCTTAGCTGCTACTTTGTCAGAGAGAATAATTCCGATCTTTTAAGTATAAATGTACCATAATTTTTGGCCATCTCAAAATGCTCAAGGAAGCACTTACTGATCCAATAAGTCTTGATTTGTCTTTATTGAGTGCAATTTCGAATGACTGTAAAAATCCTACATATAGTCATTATAACACTTTTTGGGCACAATCTGTTCATCCAAAGGCATTTCTACTCTACACTATAAACAGCATTAGATGTGACTAGAAAAACATTCACCTACCAAGATGTTCAGGGCAAGGTTATAGGAAATGAATAAAATATTATGGTTATATACAGTCTCAGCTACACTAAGATGTTCTGCTAGAGCAATAATTGAGAATAAGGTACCTATCCTCTCCACTGGCTTTAGGTTCTGATCCTCAAAATACAATTAAAGCTGATCCATCATTTAAAACACAAGACAATCACAGGCTCTCTTTTAGATACACTAGAACAGTGATTTAAAATTTTTTTCTCAAAGTTTACTCTGGTTTTCCAGCAATTCAGATATTATAGCATCTATTTTAATATTAGTAACTAACATTTACTTACCAATCTCGATACTAAGGCAAGCACTTTGCATATATTACTTCAATTAATACCCTGAATATTAATTTGCCTGCTTAGCTAACAAGTGGCAGAGACAAGATCGAAAGCCTAGCTGACAACAAAGCCCAGGCGCCTATCTACTGTGCCTTATTACCATAGTTTTAGGTAACTCAAAAACATTTCTTCTTTTCCTAGGGAGGAAAAAAAAAAATTATTTCCCACTAAACTGTAAACTTAAAGAGACCTGAAGAGACCAAGCCCAAACAGACCTGAATCATACCTGCTTTGTTTCAGCACTGTGCTGCTAGCAGGGCAGTTTCTAATAGTAATTAACTGAAGGGAGGTTAAATGAATAGGTTACTCAACTACTGAGTGAAAGGCAAGACTCACATCCATTCACTTAAGTACTATATAATACAGTTAAAATCTATACAGTGAAAAATTTTAGATAACACACAAGTAAATTTTATAGTAGCCAGTTTTTCATTACATGTATGTAAGAATTAACTCCTAATTATTTTACAGCTCTGGAAAGCAGTAGAGGTGGCACGTAAGTGAGAGATTACAAAGGAACTAGCATTTTCATCATTGCTAAAATAAGAGATTTCATATATTTGGTATATATGAAGGGTATAAGGTTAATTATATATACATATATATATTCGCCTCTCTTTTCACCTTACATATTTAGCTTAATCATATACACTGACCACATTCCCTTCTTAAAAGCCAAATGTTCAGAGGAACTAATGATATGTGAGCCATTAAAACGCCAAACAAAAAGCCTTCTGGCCACCGCCATACCACCCTGAACAAGCTCGATATCCTCTGATCTCGGAAGCTAAGCAGGGTCCGGCCTGGTTAGTACTTGGATGGGAGACCACCTAGGAAGACCAGGTGCTGTAGGAGTAAAAAATGAAAAATAAGGGATTGTAAACTGAGGAGGTCCTTGCAATCTGTGAGGGCAACCAAGGGTTGCCGCGCCTAGGAAAAAAAAAAAAAAAAACCCTTCTGGGCCAGAACCCCGCGGCCGTTTCCGGCGCTCAGGACTGGAAAATGGCAGAGCAACTTTCTCTAGGAAAGGTGCCAGAACAGGTACGCTCCATCCTATTCAAAAAAACTGGGAGAAAAGGGACTGCAGGCCACAGGAGGCACCCGGTCTGCGACCAAAAGCCCGGGGACAGCAGCAGCAGCAGCGACGAAGGCAGCACTGTGGTTCGCCCGGAAAAGAAACGGGCGCCCCACAATCCGATGACACGCAAGACCCGCAGCCGCGGCGGACGCAAGGCGGCTTGCGGGGACGTGAGCAGTGATGAGGGGCAGGGAACGGGGCAGGAGACGGAGTCTGAGAGTCTCGGCGTGGTCTACAAATCCACCCGCTCCGCGAAACCTGTGGGGCCAGAGGATATGGGGGCGACTGCCGTCTACCAGCTAGACACAGAGAAGGAGCGTGCCGCACAAGCCATCTTTGAACGCAGCCAGAAAATCCAGGAGATGCTGAGGGGCAAGGAGGATGACAAGATCTACCGGGGAATCAACAACTATCAGAAATACATGAAGCCCAAGGACACGTCTATGGGCAACGCTTCCTCCGGGATGGTGCGGAAGGGCCCCATCCGAGCGCCCGAGCATCTCCGAGCCACTGTGCGCTGGGATTACCAGCCCGATATTTGTAAGGACTACAAGGAGACTGGCTTTTGCGGCTTCGGAGACAGCTGCAAATTCCTCCATGACCGTTCAGATTACAAGCACGGGTGGCAGATCGAACGTGAGCTTGACGAGGGTCGTTATGGTGTCTATGAGGATGAAAACTATGAAGTAGGAAGCGATGATGAGAAAATACCATTCAAGTGTTTGATCTGTCGCCAGACCTTCCAAAACCCTGTTGTCACCAAGTGCAGGCATTATTTCTGCGAGAACTGTGCACTGCAGCATTTCCGCACCACCCCGCGCTGCTACGTCTGTGACCAGCCGACCAATGGTGTCTTCAACCCAGCGAAAGAATTGATTTCTAAACTGGGAAAGCATGGAGTTGCAGAAGAGGGTGGGGCTTTCGATTTCCCAGAAGAACCCCGATAAGGGTCCAATTCCGATTAGTTAGTTTTCCCATTATACTCCAGTCTCAAAATAAATATTTTAGAAAATTTAAACAAGCCTTCTAAATTCAATACATTAGGTTAACATTGAAATAATTCTTGTCACATACATCAGTTTCTTTAATACATATATTTCATAGTCATTAGCAATGTAAACGCAAAAATAAAGTAAGCTTCTTGTTTAAATGAGTGACCATTTCAGAAAGGATAGGTTTGGTATTATTGTTGCCTTAAACTGATTTTAATTTTATCAAACACTAGTTCACTTCTATTCCTCATTCAAGTATGTTTAACAATGCTAGGACACTGATATGAACGATAACAGGAAACACTAAGGAAAAGTAGTCATGGTACCTACCTTGGTTAGGTGAATGACTCCTTTAGAAGTAACTGAACAACCCATGAAGCCAACGTACTGAAGTTCAGGACAGTGCTCAGCAAATGCTTTCACTGACTGATCTGTCACCTAGGGAAGAGACATAAAGTTAATCAAGTTGGCATTCCAGTGAATTAAAGATTTGGCTCCTCAAATTCCCTCTGCCCGACTTGCATCATTAATATTTCCCTTTCCATCAGATCATTTGAATCGGTATACAAACATGTTGCAATATCTCCGTGGTTTAAAAAAAAAATTCTCCCTTGACCCCACGTCCTTTCTATCATCCCATGTTTTTCTACATCATTGAGAAAACACCTTAAAGATGTCAACACTACCTACCTCCACTTCTTCATCTCTCTCAATATATGTATTTTTTATTGACATATAATTCACAGACTATAAAATTCACCTTTTCAAAGGGTTCAGTTCAGTAGTTTGGGTATATTCACAAGGTTGTGGGACCATAACCAACGTCTAATTTCAGAACATGTTCATCACCACAAAAAGAAACCTCACACCCATTAGCGTCACTCCCCTCTTCTACCCCCCACCCCAACTCCCTGGCAACTTTGTTTCTATGGATTTGCCTAGTCTGGACATTTTTTGTAATTGAAATTATATAATTGGTTCCTAAAGTACAACAATGGTCTCTTTATAAGGTTTCTCCCTTCAAGAAATCTGGTTTTGCCCTTCACTCCTTCGAATTCTCTGGACTTGGATGGTATGATGGTTAATTTTAAGTGTTAAGTTGACTACATCATGAGGTGCCCACATATTTAGCTAAACATCATTAGGGGTGTGTTTGTGAGGGTGTTTCTTGATATAATTAACATTTGAAATGGTAAACTAAAACAGACTGCTCTCCCCAATGTGAACGGGGGTCTTATCCAACCCACTACAGGTCTGAATGGAACAAAAAGGCTGAGTAAGAAAGGATTTCTTCCCTTCCCTTCTTTTTCCTTCCCTTGCCTTCCCTTCTCTCTATCCCTGACTACCTTCAAGCTGGGACACTGGTCTCCTACCTTCAGACACAAATTCAGACTGGAACTTACACTATCAGATCTCTTGGCTTTTAGGTCTTTGGAATCAGACTAGAACTATATCATCAGCTTTCTTGTGTCTCCAGATTACCAACTGCAGATTTGGGGCTTTTTCAGCCTTCATAACAGCATGAGCTACTTCCTTAATCTCTTTACACTACTAATTCTGTTTCTCTGGATAACCCTAATTAATGTAATACATATTAGAATCCCCTGAGGAATTTATTAAAAACTCAAAGCCAAAAGGAGTGAGGCCCGAGAATCTGTATTTTTAACAAGCCATTAGTGACTCTTAGGCATGTGAAAGCTTAAGGCCCCAGTGCTGCAAAGAAGTTACACTGACAGCTTTTGGCATTTCTACCTGGCCCTGGTTTGTTTAAACAGAGGGCAGAATGAAATTCGTTTTTTGTCTTCCCACACCTCCAAAAAATTTCCATGTATTAAATTTTCTTCTTATAATTGTGCTAACGTTTTCTTCACTGTTCCACAAAGTTGTAGCTTATAAAAGAAGGTCCAAACATTCTCTATCATAGGCTTAATTTCAGATTCATTTTCTTCACAGTTAAAATGAAATTAACAAGTTAAACACTTATGTTAGTTTTTCAAACAGCAGTGACTTACATCTCCTTTGCATTAGCTTTAATATCGGTGACTCTTACTTTGTATCTTATCTATTCTGAATAGATATTGGAATATAAAAGTATGTGGACAGCATTAATTCTAAAACAACACAAGAGCATTTTCCTAAAATAATGAAACCAACAGTATCCATAGTACATCTGATAAAAGATTAATTCTGCCCTCAAAAGGAAAGTATGCTTCTGCATATTAAGACTAAGGGTGCCATTGATAAATAAAATATGGGCCTTTCTAACACTCATCTTTCTAAAAACGTTATGTTAACAAAGAATATTTAAGACACTAAAATCGCCTAAAGCTTCAATGAAAACAAGTCTCTTTTAAAAAGGGGGTTGAGAGAGTAATAGAAGTTAAATAAAGATGCTCAGTTGGTGAAATATCCTGCCCAATCTCACTTAAGCCTTTCAAACATTGAGTTTGTCATATATCCATCTTCATGGAACTCAGCTAAGGATTAAGGACACATAAAAAGCTCAGGTCCAAGGTGTTAGAGCTTTCAGAGAGAAGAAAAAGGGGTATTAAAAATTTGCTTGGTGGCTCTTTCCTTTTCGCTCTAGCAATCAGAGTAAGAGAGTACAAAGAAGCCTCCAGCATCAACAGAGTTCTATGAGTCAAGCAGGACCAGAGTAAGTCCTTGGGGTACAGAAACACTCTCAGCTGGCTTGGGTGCATTTTTGGAGACTAATAAAAGGGCCTTGAATATGTGGGTGGGTTTCAGCTCCATTTCCAAGGATAGAAATCATATAAAATGTTATATTTCGTTATTTTTAAAATGTGTAGTTAAAGCATGTTAGTTTACTCTCCTGGTTACTCCAAGAGATTCTCATCATAATTTGGGGGCTCTATGGGCTAAACTGCAGGACGGGAGTGAGGGAAACATAGGTGAAAGTTTATTATTATTTTTTAACATTATGATAAAAAAGAACCCCATTTTGTTAAGGTTCTCAGCCTGACTGCATATCAGAATCACCTGAGGAGCTTTTTGATTTAATTTCTGGGTTTAGATCTGCATCAATTTTATTTTAAAAGCACCCCAAGGCGATTCTAATGTGCAGCCCGGGTAATGAACAAGTTCTAAGGCCTTTCACACAAAGTGGGGTCCTCAGACCAGCAGCATTGGTGTCAACTTGAGCTTGTAAAAACTGCAAAATCTCAGAACCCACCACAGACCTACTGAATTCTAATATGCATTTTAACAAGATTCCCAGGTAATTCCTATGCACCTTAAAGCTTGAGAAATACTGGTGAAAAGACAAAGGACTAAGGCATCGTCTTGTGATAAGATGAAGCGAAAATGGGACAGCTATGTCACAAACAAAGCACTATGGAGAATTTTTTAAACATCTTTATTGGATATAATTTATATACCATAAAATTCACCCATTTTAAAGGTAAGAGTTCATTCAGTTTTAGTAAACCTATACAGTTGTGTAATCTTCGCCACAATGCAGTTTTAGAACACTTCCATTGCAACATCCCCCAAATTTCCTTTATCCTTTATGGCCATATGCAGTCAATCCCAGCTCCCACCCCTAGACAACCATTGACTTGCTTTCTATCTCTATAGTTTTGCCCTTTCTAGAAACTTCATATAAACAGAATTGTACTATAAGTAGTCTTTTGTGTTTAGCTTCTTTCACTAGAATAATGTTTTTGAGGTTCATCTGTGCTGTCACACGTATCAATAGTTGGTTCATTACAATGCCAAGTAGAATTCTATTGTATGGCTATACTACATTTTGTTTATTCACCTGTTGATAAACACTTGAATTGTTTCCAGTTTGAGTCTTTAATAAATAATGCTGCTGTAATCATTCTCATATAAGTATTTATATAGATATATATTTTCATTTCTCTTGGATAAGTAGGAGTGAAATTGCTGAGTCATGTGAGAAATGTAAGTTTAATTTTTTACACATTTTTTTTGTTAGGTTGTTTATCTTATTAAGTTGTAAGAGTTATTTATATACTTTGGATATAACTCCTTTAGCAGATATTTGTTTTACAAATATTATCTTCCATTCTGTACCTTGTCTTTTCATTTTCTTAATGGTGGTCTTAGTGCCAACATTTAGGTCTGTGGTGCTCTTGGTATTAATTTTTGTGAATAATGTGAAGTAAGGTGAAAGTTTCATTTTTTTGCATATCCAGTGGAGAAAGGTGCTGTCCCAGGACCATTTGTTGTATGAAGACTACGTACTATGGAGGAATTTAAAGCTCCAACCTGGAATGGTTTGACTTGAAGGATCATAATCAAGTGACTAGGAAAACCAGGCAGTAGATAAAAATCAGTATGTAAATAAAAGTGTGGCTCAGGACTTGGAGAGAAGTATCAGAAGATAAAGGGAGATAGAGATCAGCTTGCAAAGCAGATTTGGATCTTTTAGTCAAGGCTGTGATAGAAAGAGGAAGATGAACCTCAGATTCACGTGTTATTCTTCAAATTGCAGAAGTAGAGAATGACCACCTCCTTAAGCTGGCATTCTAAAAGACAAGCTACACTTTAATATCCACATGAAAAGGGTACAGGTGCATTTATGTTACAATGAGGAAAAGCATTGGTGGTAAGGAACGTCTGTTGTACCTTCGTAGTCAAGAGAACCATGAAAAGTCTGAATAATATAAACACACACAATTCTAGTAGAGCTTCAGTTTGTGAATCTTAAGGGGGCCTTCTCTAGTTGCTAAACCAGAAGGAAATGAAAACCAGAAATGCAAAGGACAAAGGAGAAAAAGAAGAGGATGCTGGTTCTTACAAGTTCTTGAGAGCTACATTCCATCAGAGATCTTTTGAGAGTGATTTCTTATGCAATCAAACATACAGACAAGAGAGAAATCTCTTCAGGAGGTAGAAATAATGGGCCTAGAAAATGCTAAAATAAGGGGCAAAAGTAATAGCCCCTGTGGTGGAAATGGCCATATATGACTAAAATAGTCTTGGCTAGAAGAAAAAGAAAGAGCAAAATGCAAGCAGGACAGGGTCATTAATTTTGCTTGGAGAGTTACTGATTATAAGTGTGATTCTGAATTGTGGCACTGCTGAATCTGAAGATTCAGTCTCTGGACATAGCTCACGCTCTGTCGAATTTTGGGGTACTAGTAGCCAAAATTTTCAAGAGAGAGTAGATAATAAAAACACCTAGGTAATAAAAATGTGTATATTTACTAAGGCCCTAATGTGTGCCAAGCTAAGTCATAACAGCCTTGAGAGGCATTATTATCCCCATTTAACAGGTGACTAACAGCCTATTAGAAAATGACTTGCCCAAATCAAAACACTAGCGAGTGGCAAAGTGGGGCTTTAAACTTTGGTCTTTTATGTTCTGAAACCCATGCTCTTTACCTTATACGAATTAGATTGTAATTCATTTCATGGTGCTAGTCTCACTTAAATGCAAATGAAAAATC